ACCTAGATAGCTGTCCTACTTTTGGATGCAAATACATTCCTCACAAATGAAAAGAACCCTTCCACTGGCCTCTACATCTGTGCTGTCAGTACCCACTGTAGAAGCTCATTTATTCATGTGAAGCAGCTATTGTGCTCAAACCTTATTCTCCATCACTTTGACAATTTCAGTTCTGTAGAATGCAATTTCTTCTTATGGCTGTCATATTATGGGTTACCAACTTGTTCTGTCAGCCTCCCTCCACCTCTTTTCACCAAGAAAGTATGAATTGTATTCATTCCAGTATTTCTGCATCAGACAATTAGTTAAAATAACTATTTATCCTTAACAATAAAACCCTGTGCCAAAATCTCTTGAACTGCTTTCAGTATGACATTAGGGATTTAGTTCCACTTATTCTCATAAGATCTTCCTTTATATATGCATGAAAAAGTAATTACAAAAGGTAATAAGGTGAATTAACACCTTTCTTTTTCTCCTGGTAAATACAAATGGCTGAATCTGTGTTGCAGTCCCATCCTGTGGCTACGCTGCACACCAGCCTGCATCCTCAGCATCATTCTCCCATTGACAGATCCCCTTCCCTGGGAAGTTTGTGGGGAACTCCTGTTTGCTCCTTGCTGGGAATATTTCCGGTTTTCAAACCTACAGCCTTGTGAGTACAGGCCTGTAAGAGTGTACTGTGAAGAGTCTCATCTGGTCAGAATGTAGTGGGAGTTTGGGTGCTGGCAACTTTGGCAAACTTCACTATTTTCTTAGAGACATGTCAGTGTCATAAGCAGGTGGTTTTGTGCTTTACAATAAACAGGAAATACATTGCTTTCTTTGTTCTGACAGCAATATATATATATATATATTTTTTTTTTAATTCACCACCTTTGTTTTATCCAATAAAGCCCTTATTGTTCAAAAAGCTGTACAGGGGCACTTCGTTAGCTAATATTTACCCACAGATAAACATTTACTTCATTTTGTAAGCTGTGGAAGGCAGTGAATGTTCTGCACTTTTCTGTGACATATGTCTTCTTCCTTCAACAGCTTCAGTAAAAGGATGTCAATACACTATGCTGCACACCATAAAATGCAGTAAATGATGCCCCAGATCCTCAGAACTGAAAACAGCCCTCTCAGTGCTGATATTCACCTAATACAAGGATAAGTAGCTCTCTTTTTTTGCTCCTCAGGCAGCTATCAAGTACTCATTGAAATGCCTGTGTTAAATCATGACAATGACTGGTTCAGGCAAGTCCATTTGTATTGAAAATCCCACAACTAAATGTGAGACATGACCTCCTTTTAATAAGAACACATTATACTTGTCCAGCAAGCATGTCATCTTTGCCCTCTGACAGATTCCAGGAAATTAGAATAAAGAAGAATAAAGAAAATAATGCTCTGAAAGTAAAGCCTCCTATTTATTTCCATGGAAACTTTAGAAGCTACAAAGAGCACAGTAACAGTCTAATAGAGCTAATTCTCAGCTACAAAACGTGTTTTTCAACACAGTCCTCACCATGAGCTCTGCGTTTGTGCCAGAGATGAACAAGAAAAAGCCTGCATGCCACACTCATCAAAATCTACAGCAGCAGAGGTGACCCACTGTTGCCATTGCTGAAACACATCACCTGCTGCCTCACTGAGCTCACATCCACCGTTTGGTCTCCATAGATGTTCAGCCAAATGTCAGTGAATACCAATGAGTGCTATTTCTTCTGAATGGAAGAATTCATTGACACTTTTTTGCTTCATATGTACTTCCATGTCAGACACCATTTTGTCAGAGTGCCCTTTGCTGCCATTTCTCTTATGGCAACAAACTGTTACGGAATACTGCTTTACTCCCAATATCTGCCTCTGACATCACGAACCAACATAATAAAATAGGAGGCATTACTTTCGGAGCAGCCCTCATACTTATCTAGAACTGTATTAATGCATGCAAAAGCTCAAATCACTACTTTTGCCATACGGAGTCTGTATTTCATTATTGCTCCATGATATTCAAGGTCACTGTGCTTTCGAACCAAGTGAAATTGAGTCATTCCCAAAATGGACATTTTGTTTTCAGACTAAGAATTGCTTTACAGCCTTTGTCACAGCTTACCTCCAAAAAATTATTAAGTCCAATTTATACTTTTGGTAGTTAAAGCTACATAAAACTGTAATACTGGGGAAAAACAGGCTTTCTGGAAAACATCTTCACGTAAACAGCATAAGAGCAGCACTGAGGATGCTCAGAGACTAACAGAATGCAAAAACAGCTCAGAGAACATTTTAATCCTTGAGAAGCTCTGAAAAGAATTATATATAACTTTGCAGTTGTTTGGTTAGAATAACTTCTTTTTAATTTCTCACGGAACTTCCAAGCACTGGTATTATTTTCTTTTTATATTTTTATCAATGGTTCAATTGCCCCTTAATCAAAAGATAAGGCAAGATGAAACATTTCTCACTCAGCAGAGCACATAGGTCCTATATGTGATCACTCTGAACAGAAGTTCACACAGTGAGCATTTACAGCATGCACGTAAGTGATCACTAATAACGTATGTAAAATATGTCCTAATATCTAAAATTCAGTTGTTACAACATTTTCTCGTACACCCTATGGGTCTGAGCTGATATTCACCATTCTATTGAATACACTCTAAGAATGAGTGCAAAAGCATGTGTTCAGTATTAACAGTTAGAAAAATAATTCTGCATCCTTTACCTGATTCTGCTCTGTATTTTTTTTCTGTATTTATTTATAAATTGTAGTAAGGGCTTTGAAACAGTATTTTCTATCATAAACTTTAGCTTAAGCTTGCTGTAACAACCACCTTCTCTGATACTGGAGTATTCTCCTGGGGTCCACGCTTCAAGGTTTGACCTTATGATGCTGTTATAATAGCTAAAAAATGACCACTAATTATATACTGTTATGTTCCAGTATCCCAGAGCATCCTGTGATTTCCAGAGAATAAATGGCTGCATCTATTAATTTTGAATAGAATCGATCTGTGCAAAGGCATAAAATAACTGCAGTAGTGAAACGCTGACTCCTAACAGGCACACAAGAATCTTTTCAGTGAGAAGGAATGATTTTAGCTAACAGGAAAGAAAATGTAAAACAACAACACCTATAGTGAGATCACAATGAAATTTTACAACTACTATTAATCAGGAATTTTTCTGTTAAATGAAACTGATGCCACAAGAGAGAGGATATTAAACATATATATTATACACATGACACTTTGGAAAGTGGTCTAATATCTTCCCACATCTCATCTAGAAAGCTAAAACTTCAGATGAGAGTCTGAAACAGCATGAAGTTGAACACACACATCTCATTTGTGTTTGATTTCAAGCATTCAAAACAAACAGCAAAATGCTGAACAACTGAGGTGCAGCTGACATTAAGTCTTACTCTGCCAGCTGCACTTACCTGAACCAGCAGTCTGCTATTCTGTGCCACATCATCTCAGAAATGAACAAGTTCTGCCAGTGCTGGTAACGTTCTCTTAAATCCCTACCAGTGCTGAACTCCATAGTGACAGCTAGAACTGATATTGGCAACTAGCAAGTATACAAACAACAATGTCCATATCAACCTATTGCCCTTCATTCCTATTTGTCTCTATTTCCATTTTTTAATTCCAGTGTGTGTACAAAGGCAGAGTTTGGTTTCATTTCAATTCCTGCAGGAGGAAGCACCTAGACTTACGAGGGCTATAACCATATTAACATAACTAAGATATATGTTCCTCTCTCCAGCGTTACACTGATGTATGAAAGCATGCTCATGAACAACAAAACATTCCTGCTAATTTTCAATTTGTGTAAATTAGATTTCCAAAAGCCACTGCCATAAAATATCTATGTAGCATTTATACTGAACCACCTAAGAAAGGCAGGCCTGTTTTCATTTTGGCTAACCTGTTTGGCTTGGACCTGGACAGATCATAAGAAAAAGAATGAGACCCAGGATTCAAGTGAGAACTGATGCTGTTATTTGGATCCTCACAGCTGAAAATGGTATGTAGCTGAGTGAGCTCTGCATTTCCAGAGTATCTGAACTTCAAGTCAAAAGGAGTAGCTCTGACCTCAGTTGTCTACTCCAGCTACTTGTCCTTGTAGAGCAACAGAAGAGCTGTGTTCATTAAGGGCTGGTTTCAGCTGCAAGGAGGCAACAAACAGTCCCTATTTGAGCTGCTGAAGGATTCATGTCCTCCCAGTGTAGAAAGTAGTTCAAATCTGCTCTATTTCCAGAGAGCTTTCAGTGAGAACAGAACAGTGGGTGCCTCACAGTATTCCAACGACTGTTTTTTTGTGATTGTGCTTAAAAAAAACCTACTTTTAAAATATTATGAGGTGCATATATGATGCAGCTCAGCTCGTTACTGATCTGTAAAAAGGACAGTGCATAAACTCACAAGCTAAAAAGGTGTTTGGTCAGAATAAGTTTGACCTTTCAAAGAAAACATCTACTGAAATTGCAAAAGTTTTCAGTCTCTTACTAGTCATATACAGAAAAGTCTAATGGCACAAGCCACCAGATTTTTCCATTTTGTCCTCCTTCAGTGAGTAAATAAAACATGTGGAGTCATAATTCACTTGAAAATGTAACAAGAAGGACTATTCACTGATACAACCAATCCCACTTGTGTTACTGAAGAATTAATTGAAGATTTCACACAGAAGTAATTTTAGATAGGAAGCCTCAGTGAAAACTCGTTTCATGAGTAAAGATACCAGCACACAGGTTGGACCATCCCAATCTGCTGGCAGTAAAATGTTTTAAAATATTGCATGGTCTTGTATATACAAGTACAACCCTGTTCTCAAAAAAGAAGCCCACATGAGTATTTTCACAGCCTCTGCTCTCATCTTGAGGAATTCAACAGCATTTAACAATTCATGCAGGATGTTAAGGAATTAATAATGCTTTCACAAGTTATGACTCCTTCTACCCTGTTTCATTTTACTGCTGGAGAAAAGAAAAAACAACTACTCACCAGAATTTTTGTAGTGTAAGCACTGTTGATAGCAATTGCATTAACCAGTAATTCAAGGGTCTTAGCAGGTACAGAATCAGGGTCAGGGATCTCTTTGTAGTGCACATCACCAATATAGGCTTGGACGACTGTCATCCGGTTGGTTGTTAGTGTCCCTGTTTTGTCAGAGCATATGGCTGTAGCATTACCCATAGTTTCACAGGCATCTAAGTGGCGGACCAAATTGTTATCTTTCATCATTTTCTGAGGGGAAAAAAAAAATAGTAATAACAACTTCAAGATTTGCTTTGACAAATCTTAAACATCAGTCATACAAAGGAAGAAAGTATATCTTGCTCACTAGCATGTAAAGCTCAATCAGTATTTTGTGTCCAGTAATTAGTACTGTATTTACAGACAATCAAGCCCTGACCATCCCTGGAATAGTTTTTTTGATCAAATGAAATAGTTCTATCCTTTTATCATCGATAAATATTTTAAGGAATAGGTAGAACAGCAAAGATTAGCTAAAGTACTGGAAATACTGTAGATAATAGGATTTTTAAAACAGTATAACTATAGCAAATATTAGAAAACTGTGCAATTTTACATACTTTGTTTTGTTTTTCTCCTAAACCTAAACTCCTAAACCTAGAGATCAATCAGGAATACTTAGTAGCATAGGTTACCTAGTAATTCAACAGCAGTATATGCACAGAAGATGATTGAGAAGCTATCCTGTAAACTATTCATATTTCTATATTTTAACCTTGAAAGTCTAGTCAAACTTTTTAGCCTTTATTTAATATCATTTCCAATACCAGTGTCACCTTACATCACACAGAGTGACTACACATCTTGCAAACCAACCAAACCAAAATAATCACCAGTGACTTAAAAAATCCACCACCATTCCATACTGCATATTTTTCACTGGTTAGAAAGTCTGCCTGGAGTTATATGTTATATATTCATACTTTTTCAATATTAAAAACCTCTGTGCCCAATCACCTGACCCTAACTTTCAGAGCAATACCTAATGCTTACAGGACACAGTGTCACCAGCTGAAGCCAATATGTATGATACTGCTGAAGCTGAAGCCAATATGTTTGATACTGCACCCACAGTTACACAAGGATGGATGTGCTGCATGCACTGTGTGAAGGCCATCAGGAGCATGGGAAAATATTTTTAAAGCAGTTAGGCTCCTTACTGGCAAAATCACATGGCTGAGATCTGCTCTTTTTTTTCCCTAATAAGAAATGACTACCTATAAATCAAGGTACTTCTTCATAATGTTCATATGTTATTTACCTGCTAAGTGGAAATAAATTACAGAATTTTCACCTGGGATTGCTAGAATGTTTGTGTAAGGCCTGTCATTATTTAATTTCCTGACAGAATCATTTACACTGGCTAAAAACCAATATAACTGCATTTAAGAAGAATTGTATTCCTTCAAAAAAAGAATCCCGAAAACTTCAAATCCTTGTCAAAATTTTTTACTATTGCAGAAGCAAGTCTGAAGACAAACTTACACTAAAAGCCTACACTACTCTCAAAGTAAGCCCTGCTCAATAAATTCCTGGTAACTTTGTAAACTAAGCAGGGATTTCTGTTGTTTGAAAACTGTGAAGTTTAAAAGACTTGAGTTAGCATACAAACGCATTTTTCTGTTTTGTCAGAAGTACTTTCAAAGTAATACTTTAAGGAAATTTCTCCCTCATTATCATTTTAATGACATTAATTTACAGGCCAACTTCAATCAAACCTAACAAAAGCTGAAGAATAACCCACTAGCTAACTAGAAAGAAAGGTATTTTTCTCCTATAATTATTTTGAATGTTTCTTACCTTTACAGAATAAGCCAAAGAAATAGTGACAGCAAGTGGAAGACCCTCAGGGACAGCAACCACAAGTACAGTAACACCAATAATGAAGAATTTAACAAAATACTGAACATAGACAGGAGTGCACTCAGGTAACCACTGTTTCTTTTTCACCACAAAGGTGTCAATGGCAAAATATAGTACCAAAATGATTACAGTGATGGCAGACATCACCAAACCTGTAAACAGAAAGAAGCAATTACTACAAAGTAAAACACAGTTAAAAATATGTGCAATTAGAATTTCATATTTGAGTTTTATGTAAAATTATTTTCACTCTTCATAAGAGTTTACATTGCCACCAGTACAAATAATGATGAATTCTATAACGTCGAAGAAAAAATTACTATAATACATTTACAGCAAAAGTCATTATTATAGCAGGTTTACAAGAGCCATACATTCTAATGAAAAGGGAAGTACTCCATTCCTACAGTAATTTCTATGCACTGTCACATTGCTGCCCTTAAAACTGACCAGTCAGTCCAAAGTTCTGCTGTTGTTTAACCTAAGTTTTTCAGGTTTAGTACATCACTATTCTGTACATATTCGAACATCAGTTGCTCATCTTTCTCTTTAAATACGTTTATCTTAAGAGGTTTAAGAAAAGGAGCCTCTTCCTATAATTTGCTGGTCTCTAGAATATTTCAGGCAGGGGTGTTCAGTTGAATACAGTGAAGTAACATTGCAGAATTGTCCACTGAACAGTTATTTAATTGGTCTGCTTGAAAATTTAATTAAGTGTTCCCAAGGTTTTTCTTTCAAAGGAATCTATGCAAATAGTGCATATTTCTCTAAGTAGAGGCTTAAAGGCATAAACACTGACAGTATTCCACAAGAGAGACTGATAAATATTTCACAGAAGTCACAAAAGATCTGGGGACTAAATGTGCTCTCATACAGACTGTGGTAAGACAACGTTTTTCATGCACAGTTTTGTTCCTGGATTAAAGTGACAAACGAAAACTGGTTACACCTGCACCTACTTAGCCTTGTTGTTATTACTCTTTGACATGCTCTGATGAAGAGGGTAAGCCTATTTTTCAGAGTAAATTAATTTTCAGAGTAAATTAAAAGGATGATACCGTGAATTCCATGTCTTGACTGAAGTGATAGACAGATAAATAAATAACTAAATAATGTAAATAAAAGGATTTTAAGGTTGCCAGGATATTGGTGACTCAGGGAGACCACCACTTAATATCAGAGGATATAGAAAAATCTACTAAAACATTATATAGGGAAATCTTTATGACAACTCAGGACATTCCCATAGATTGCCTGATGTAGAAGGAAAAATAAGACTAAAGAGACCATAATTAATTTAATTCATATTACTTGCCACATTACTGTTAGAAAGATGTATACAATTACTTGAAAATTACAGAAGAGATGTAGAAAAAGTACTTATTGTAGAAAAATATGTGATCTAAGAAGTTAATAAACACAAGAAATCATGAGGTTTCGTATCAGTGTGTACTGTTATACAGCCAGCAACAAAACAGGAGAAGCCTGAGAAATATAAAAGTGGGAAAACCATGAAAGTGAATACCAAAGAGAGATAATTGTAGATTAAAAGCCACATAAAATCCAGGAAAAAAAGACAGAAGTGGTGTCGTGGTCTTCTGCCATCAAAAAAAAGTGTAATAAACTAAAAAGGATTTAGAAGGAATAGGAGGGATAAAAATCAGACTGACAAAGAAGGATAAAAAGTGTTCAATGGAAGTAAAGATAGGAATCCATTGTAGGAGCACAGCCATCTGGATAGAGTCTGAGACCTCTTTAATAGCAGTGGAAAAATACAGTTAGCAAGCATTACATCATTTTGAAAGACCTTAACTTTCTACCTGCGATGTTGGAAAAGTGCCACTTTTAACAGCGTGGATCGAGTGGCATTGTACAGAACAGTCAACATATGCATCATGTTTGCATAGAACGTGTGAACATGGATGTCATGAGATCATAAATAGAATAATTTCAGAATCCGTAAGTGGGAAATATTGTGAGAGTGACATTTTCAGATTATATTAGAAATTCTGTAACTATGTACTTGGAAGGGAAGAGGAAATTAATATAATGTAATTACTGCATTTGGGAATATCAACCAAGCTACATGTCATTTTGCTTCATATATTCATTACAATCCAAGTTGCCCAAAGCTTTCTGTTTCTTGATTGTAAAAACTGGGCTTCAGAAGATGAAAGATCTTCAGTACCACCTACTGTCTTCAGAACCGTACTGTGACAGCCCATTTCTAAATGTTGCACTAATAAAGCACTACTCTCTTAAGAATTATTTGTTTATAAGCCCTTAGTAATAATATACTGCTAATTCAGTCAATTATCCCATCATACCTGCTTTGCCTATCTGGACTGCCAGCTTGGTCAGCTTTCCCTGTAGGACAGATTTTTCCTTCTTGTGCATGTTGGATTTCTTCTTGTCTTTGTCATCTCCTTCTCCCCCCTCAGCACTCTTCAGTGGCTGCATCTCCATGGCAGCAGCCCCATCCTGCTGTTTGGCTAATAACGCAGAACAAAACTGTTACTTCCAAACTGTCTTCCATTCTTTTTCTTGTAGTGTTGATACTTACTGAATTAAACTAGCAACACTCATTGTTGGAGCTGATGAACATAACTTTGCACAGGATTACCCTCTGCTCCCACAGCAGGCAGATGCCCAGGTGAGGACCCAGTGGGGTTCCAGAGGGACACAAATGTACAAGTTTACCCACATGCCCTTCACACAAGAGAATATATATGTAATGCACCATTTGTCAAGTAGCATGAAAACCTCTAATTCTGGGTTGGTTTGTTTGTTTACCACCAACAATATTCTGTATCATACACATATATATCACTTAATGTTTTGCAACACTTGGCAAGTAACAGCACATCAGCACTGCAGGATTTCCTAGAATAGCAGATCTCAAATATTTTGGCAAGTTGACTGTCTATAATTTTCTAAATTTTGGTGTATCTCATAGATTCCAATGCAGACTTACAATCTTAGTGTTAATTAAACCATTTTAAAGGCAGTATGGTTGCAGGGATGATCCATGCACCTGCTGCTCAACTCCACCGGCATCTCAGTGAGCAGTGCACCTTAATTTGTGAACCACTATTCTAGAATAATACCAAACTTAAATAAAAGTTTCCTTAGCATTCATTATCAGATTGCCTAATCTGACCTTCAAGTCAGACAGCAATACCATCATCATTCTTCAGTAAAAAACAAAACCAGAACTTGAAAGGCTAAAGCATCCTTTCTTGAAAGAATGCTAATAGGAGGAAACTTCAATTTAGTATCAAAGAGAAATAGATGCTTTTTAAAAGCAGTGACACTCCACAACTTATATATGTGTATATGTCTGTTCGGTACAGAAAGGAAAGCAAATTAAAGAGAATGAGATGAAACAGATCTGCTCAGGTTTGGCATTTACGAACAATTTTTAGAAAATTATGCTTATTTGACCTGGAAATGTAACTGGTCTGTCTAACCTAAAACCATACACATTTAGTATGACTTTATTTAATACTTCTGTACCACTAACAACTGAGTTTATCTGTTCTGTATCTGATCCGTTACCTTTGCTAAATTTAGAATTTTCCAAGAAGAATAAAATGGTGTAGTTTAATTTCCTTATTTAGCATAATCTAAAGAAATCATGATATCTGTCTCTTGTCTAATAAAAATATACTATACTATACTATAGCTTTGCTTCAGAGGTAAAACATTTACTCCCATGAGATTGTATAGTAAATAAGAAACACCTAATGTTCTTAATCTTCCTCATCCTCATAGCACACTTTTATACTGCTGAATAACCCAAGGCATTACATTTCCTTTTCTTATTATTTTAATATCTTCTCCCTACAAATAAAAATGTTTATGCAACACCATTAAACACCAAAGTCGACAGGACATACCAAAAAGAGGGCTGGAAACTCACTAATGATACATAGCATAAATAACTTGCACACAAAAATGAATTCAAACGAGCTTTGTGACATGAAAGTATCTTATATAATAATATCTTCCCCTCTTAAGAATTTGATACATCAAAATTCTATAAATTACAGCTTCTTTCGTAGGACCATTTGTACTCGTGTGCAGAAACCACAGACTTTCATTTTATTTTTCAACAGCATCTAACTACATGCTAAACATAACATCCACAACCTGCTTAATAGGAAAGAAGATTACCTTTGTTCTGGCTGTTCTCCATATTCCCATCCTGCATTTTGCCTATATGATGAAAAATTTCAACAGACAACAGACAGTAAACAATCTTCACCCAAGACAACACGAAAATGGGAATTTAAATAAAAAGGGCAGACAAAATTAATGACAGTGTTACAGATACTAATTTATGATCAGTAGCCTTTGGTACATGTTTACTTAGAAGCATGGACAACATAACGTGGATACATTAAGCATCTGCAAGTCAAATTTAATGGTATAACAGAAAATACTAAATATCATTACTTTTTTTTTTCTTTTTTTTTTGGAACAAACAAATTGTGTAAGTAATGAGGATGAAATTAATAAAAAGAATCCAGTAGAAAGCAGAAGTTTAATAATACTGAACTGACATCTCAGACATCTACAACTGAATAAAACCACAGGTAAAAAAACTGGCAAACGTCAGTACATAGATGACTTAATTAACATCCACCGAAATTATATCAATTATTTTGGCAAATTAAGACAACAAATAACTAAGCATTAATAAATAAAACGTAAAATGATATCTTTCTTATTTTTGCAATATTATTTAGCAAGTTGCTCCTGTAAATATGAATGCCAGGTGATCATCCTGTATTCTGACCTATTCTAAACAAAGATGTAAAATGTATTTGTAATTTCCAGTGTAATGATTTAGCTACATTTAGTGTTAACATATCAAACCCATCATTTGTAATACACCATATCAAACTGCCTTTGAAATAAAAATGGCACAGTACCATTTAGAGCACAGGAAACTCTGCTATTCAGAATAACTGGTAAACAAAGAGTATTTAAAAATTATTGTTGGGATACATTGTGAAACTTTCACAGTGATAGAAAAATTAATCTCATGGAATAAACTACAAATATCCTGAATGGATGGCATCATCACTTCGTAGTTAGTTCTAATTCTAAATAGAAAAATAATACTAAGGAAAAGTAATAGTCAAAATATCTTCACAGGATTTTGACACATTCTGGTAAGAAAGGTATCATAAGAGTTTGTTAAAAAACAATAATAATACAGCAGCTAAGTTCTGCTCTTCTGCCTCCTTGTGATTACAGAGCTGATACCAGCATGCATAATAAAGCAGCAGAAATTATGCTTCAGCATGTATTAATTTTTTCACACTATGCTGTGAAAACACAGTAGCAAAACTGAAAGGCTAAAATGCATTTCTTACGTTTGCATTTTCACAATTGGAAAATCACTAAAGACTCAACTTTCTTAAAAAGAGCAAAAGGCTGAAAAAGCTGAAAATATATTACTGTGACATTTCACTTCATACTGATTAGCATGAGGCTACAGCCACTGAGAAATTGCAAAGTGTAGAATGACAGTAAAGGAAAGGATGTTTTGCTAAATATAATGCTCTCAGTATTCATAAGGATTACAAAAGTCTGCTGTTTAGCATGTCTGTTTTTATCTTTGTTCTCATCTTGGATGAAATATGATTTTAAAAAACAAAGGGCACCCTTCTTCCAAAGACTTACATCTTGTCATAAGACACGAGTCTATGACTATGAGCAAAAACAAGTTTGTTTTCATTGTGAAATGTAACAAAAATTTGTCAGTTCATCTAAAAATTGCAGTTTAAAAAAAAAAACAACAAAACAAAAAAGCACCACAGTGTGTGGTAGAATTCTAAATCTGCCTGTGTTTTTCCTGCTCTATGCTCTGCTTTATTGTTCATTTTTCTGACTACAATTCAAAAAATTCTAGCAGTATAATTAAAGATGCTTCAACTAAAAAAATACAAATATTGTTTCCTATGTGAATCCGAGTATTTTCCTACTGTCTATATCTGCTGTTTAATAGAGGTGAAATCATTATCATAATGAATTACACTAATGATGCATCTATCCTGGCTACCTAAAAATACAAGGACAAAAAATGGTCAGTTGTAACCAACAATATAAACACAGTTATTTAAGAAAAATATTCTAAACCTCTGCAGCTACTGTACTGCACTTCAGTGAATATTTCAGGGACTGCTAGGGGGAGTAAAGTGAGTTATTAAAACTAGTTGAATTCAAATTACTTAGATAGATAACAAAGAATAGGTAATTAGGTTAAGAAAACAATACAGTAAAGGGAAATAAATGGCTTGGTTCCTCGCATTCCCTGTAATTTATTGAATCCTAAGTCTGCAATTGACAAATCTTAAGAAGAAAGTAAGAAATTAATGTGACAGAATCATTACTGATGAGAAATCCTTCTCCTTTCAGCTTGTGTTAGGACTAGAAATATTACCTGACCTGGGTGCATTGTTTAGAAAATGAAAACGATACATAAATATTAAGATCTTAATATAATTCTTAATATGAAATTCCTCAAAAATATACCTTCTTAACATAGCTCTGCAACTTCTCCCCCTTTTTGGGGACAGTGTGCCCTGAAATCTGGGGCAATTACTCCGAGTTTCTTTTCCATGCAAAGATGAAAAATCAGAATGTTCAGAAAAGACTTACAAAGCCTCGTAGATTTGTATTCTGCTCGTGCTTTGCAGGCTTTGCATTTACATATAGAATGTTTTGCATTTTGCCTCTACCTTGTGAAAATTTCCATCTCTTTACTTGGAACATACCCATGATGTTATTACTGCCAGAGTTCTTACTCTAAAAACAGTAACCTCAGCAAAGAAAAACTCCCCTTACATTCTACGGCTCTTAAGAAAGGAGGAATCAGTCAAACAAAATAATAAACTCCTACTGCTGACATTAGAAGTTACGTGTTCATTAGAGGAACTGCTTGAAAACACCCAGAGAAGCTAATCTAGTTTTATTCCGCTGTGCTGTGGTGGAGTGAAAAAAAGAAGCTACCCTACTGATTTTCCAAAACGGCTCATCGTGCAACAGAAACGAGTTACAGCTCTCCTAATGCCAACTCAGTTATATTATGCAACTCGAAAGAACAGATGTGCACTGCAGGTCTTTAGATAGGGGGAAAAGTGACGTCAAACATGCGAAGTGAAAGATTAGGAATTCTTTCAAGAAGTCTGATATGAGCCAATGAGATTAACTTCAAAGGAATAAACCTGATCCCATTGTCTCAAGTAGGATGTTTTAGATACTTTTATGCAGAGGGATCTAGAAATAAGGCGGCCAGTGATCAACACTGCTTTCTCTGATCAAATCAAATTCGGGATAACCAAGCACTAAACAAACTGAGATTGCTGCTTCTCATATTAAAAACTATATATATTTTATATTTTCTAAACACAGTACTATTAAATCAGTGGAATTTTCATGAATTATGACCTTTCTGTAAATTTGTATCCTTTTGAGAACTGAGTATATTTTGTGGATATGCATGTATTTATATATAAACTAATAAGACTGACCAACTATTATACCTTTTTATTTCAGCTGCTAGAACTCTACAGAATGCGTAGCAGTTCCTTCAACACAGCAGGAGGCCAACAATAGCACGTGTGAGAAGCCTATATAACTTCATCACTGTACGTTCAGGGACTGCACATAAAAAGCACTTTTTCTGGGTCAACTATATTTGTAAGTAGGATATAAACCAATTTATTTTAAATTGTGACAAGTTGATTTTCAGCTAACAAGTAATAGCATTTCCGGTGCTAAGTACTTATTCAGGTATATGATATTTTTTTTGTTCCTTGGAGGTATGTTCTACACAGAGGTATAAGCTGTTTGGTAAAACTTCATTTCCAGTTCTACCTCAGGGAAAATCCTTAGACATTATTGAAAATTTAGTTTAATCGAGGCTGGAAAAACGGTTACAAGAAGTTGATCTCCTTCTCTTAGAATTTAATTCTTTCCTTTCTTTCTTCTCTCCAAACCCTGCAGAAACACAGCTATGAGAGCTGCTCTGAAAGTAATGCCTCCTATTTTATTATGTTGGCCCATGATGTTAGAGGGGGGATGGTTGAAGAAGTTGAACCTTCCCACCTATATTCCATTACATTTTGTTGCTGTGCAACAGCTGGTAGCAGAGGGGCAATCTGACAGAATGGTGTCTGACATGGAAGTACTTATGAAGCAAAGGAGTGGAACTGAATTCTTCCAGGTGGAAAAATTGCACCCTTTGACATTCACTCATAGCTGATGAACATTCATGGAGGCCAAAGAGTGGATGTGAGCACAGTTAGGTGGTGGGTGGTGTGTGTCAGCAGTGGTGACAGCAGCGGTGCGTCATCTTGGCTGGTGTAGATTTTTATGAGCATGGCATGGCATGCAGACATGATGACCATCACTGGTGAAAACGCAGAGCTAATGGTGGTCACTATGCTGAAAAATAGTGTTTTGTAACTGAGAATTTGCTCCATCAAATAGTATTTGTATGCACTTTGTATCTTTTGTAGTTTCCATGGAAATAAATAAGAGGCATTTCTTTCAGAGCTACCAATGTACCTTCTAAGTATTCTCTATCTCATCATCACTGCTGAATAGAAAAATGGCGTAATATTAGCAGAAACCAGACTTGGGCAATTTCCCAGGGAATTTCAAAACACTCAGATCCAACTGTGTTTGCAGTCTCGGCTCTCCTCTGAACATACTATCAGAAAAGTTGATTTATAGAAAGTTTCTTCTCTCACGTTGATCAAAATTCTGCAGAATTAATCCAACTGCCTTATGTTGGAAAAGTTAAAAGCAGAAACATACTTTGTTGAATTACTGACTTCAACACTTACCACTGAAAAGAACCGAGTTTCTTTTCCTAACTATGACTCTAAGATAAACAGGGATAGTAACTATTGTTTCTAATGGGAGAGAAGATAGAAAGTCCCATAGATACTTGCTTTAACACACTGATTTGATATCCTTTGACACTCTATTTCAATATTAAGTTCAGACATTAAGACCAAACGCAACAGGTATTTGCCAGGCAATTAAATTGTGCTAACGGAGAGACTAGGTTAGAATAAATTAAGATTCATTTCTTTAGCATACTGAGCAATGGTTTGCATCCAGCAAAACACTTAGGCAGATGCTTAACTCAGTGCAGGCCTGAGACTAAATATAATTCTGCAGTCTCCAGTGAGACAGAAGGAGGTAATCTGGTAAGACTTGGTTCTGTGGGTGTATTTATTTTGTGCACAAAAAAGCGTGTAAGAATTACAAATAAAGGAAAATGAGAGAGTCCTCATTAATTTCCTGGTTCTTAGTCTCTAAGAAACCTGAAATTGGGATGTTGGAACTAGGATGGTCTAGGGATAAGAGAGGGATGGGACTTGTAAGCAGGTTTAATATCTTTTCTGATTTTGTCACGTTATCCCACTAGTTTATCTTACTAACTGTTTAGAACTTGCTATGTCAGAAACTAGCTTTACATGCATAATGCAACAACTATTGATCTATAAAGGAAAACTTTTTGTTACGAACAGACAAAAAATAAAATGACTCTTGTCAGTGTAATTGATGCTCTACCAGAGGGAAAGGGCTCTTCAGTTTAGTAAAGACTAAACATACTTTATGAACAGAAAAAATACAGCTGTTCTAAGACTAGTGTTCTAGACTAACACTGACCCATTCCATTTAATACTGCAGTTAGAGTATTAGAAAAGACTGAATCACCTGCTAAACACCATGCTAAAAATGGGGTCAAGAAGCTGTAGTAAGAGACAGTCAAATTTGACTACATCTATATATATTTAATCACTGCATACTGAGTCATAGATACTCACTGTCTAAGAGCATGCACAAATATCCACACAATCCCATTTCAGCCAGCCTCTTCCCAAAAAGATGCTGACAGCAGCAATTTTTTAATGAAAACGCTGCAAGTTGAAACTGAGCCAGATTCCTGACCCCAGCATTATTTCTCAAAACTACGTGAAGACTTTATGTACGCTTATGAGAGTGCCACATCAGAAGAAAAGATGATACAATCCCTTCATCATGGTGTTCTCCTTCAGGTTTGTACTGACCAATGCGTAAAGAGTTTTATAATGAAACTTTATGTACAGGCAACTCAAAAGTTTTGAAACTGGTCTTTGTTAACTGAAGCATTTAACTGCAATTTTAATCAACAGCAAAGAGATCACAGTTCCTGTTTGTTCAGCCTCCACGCCTAATTCCACATGAATGAAATAATTCATTCATAGCATCTTTGTGGCATCTCTTATAAGCTACTGTAGAGTTTATGGAATAGGAGCACTCAGAGGGTAATGACACACATAAAACACCTGTGCAGTTCATAGAGGAAAGAGGGAATCTTATATAGTTTGGAGAGAGATCTATCAAATAAAACAAGCTAGGTGTTCTTGACGTACCATTGACTAAGCTGACATTTGCATTATCGGTGGCATTTGCACCTGCTGCACCATCTGTAGCTGAAGGAGGGTGGGAGGAGGGATGGGAAGAATCTACTGAATAATAATGGATAAAAACAAACAAAAAACAACAAAAACCAATAAATAATAATAACGAAATGCACATGACAAAAGCAAAAACATTTATGAAATTCTGTGGCTTTGTTTTCTCCAAAATCAATGTTTTAAATTAATCAACTTAATTGACAAAAGCAAAACATCAATACAGAAAAGAAAAAACTCATATATGAAAGAACAGTAATTACTAAATAAACAAGAAAGACATTTCACAAACTTGACAGTTGGTGAGAACTGACTACACATAACACTGTGTATGGTCCTTGGTGTGAATTTTTTTACTTAATTTATAAAAGATCCGCAGATATTAAAAAAGGTTGAAATATTTCCCTTGAGTAAATGAACTTACGGGATGCATCAGGATTTTTAAAACCTGCAGCATACTATATAGTATATGCAACATGACATATTTTATATTTGATGTAACACTGCATGCTTCAGCACATTACTGCTGGCACCACATTACTGCTGGCACAGCCTAGTTTCACATGGGCTGGCCCAATCCACGTCCTGTCATCACCTAATAAAAGCATACACTGATTTGAGCAGAAACACTAAGTTTTCCATACTGTATGCAGAAATGTAGAAGAAATACAAGGTCTTGGAAAATACTTTTTTTTTTTTTTTGTGGAGAATAATGCATTGTTTTAAATTCAAATGATAGGCATTCTGTAATTGCCAGTTTCGAGGTAAAATGAAAAAAGTAACAGAACATGAAGTCCTCATTTTGTTTTCAGCAATTATCTCCATATTAGAGAAACTGCACAAGCAACATGTGAATGGGAAACTGATACTTTTTTATTGTTTTACTGTGGACTTTTTACAAGTGTACAGAAGATGAATCTCCGTAAATAATAAAGTAAGTTTTACTTGTTTCTGTTGGCCAGTTGTTAACCAACCACACACAGGTCCTCTAATGAGCCCAGGCCAGGAATCTTGAACTTCCTCAGTACTTAGCCCATAATGACTGTTCCATGCTGTACCGGTTTGTTGTTCAAGAAAAATCATTTTCTTTTAATTTACAAACGGTAAATTGAGAGAAGAAAATAAACAGCATTCAGGATTTAAAAGCACATCCTGTGTAAGCAGTCTGAAATTTGAAAGTTGAAAATTTCAATTGCAAATGATTACTCTGATGATAACAACAGTGTTTTGGTTACTCACGCTTATTTTTTATTCCATTTGGATGCTAACAGGCACAGCACGAACTGCTAATAGCAAATCACGCATTTCAGCATTTAATAAACTAATTTACTTGTGGAGATTAACTGAGTATTCAAGCTTAACATTAAGATTTGCAACACCAATAATGCGCGCTTACATAAATGTTTGCCATGAACAATCCTGTTGATTTGAAATTGTTCTTTAATTTAACTGGACCAATTAAAAGACAGTTATTTTGATCATTCATTCAACCCTGATTTGCACCAAAGCTTGCTGGCTAAAAGCCTCATTCTTTCATCTGATGTGGTGGTAGAACGCTTACTCTACCTGGAAGCTGATTTTCATCCTCCTGTTTCACACCTGTATGATGATTTTTACAAAATGTTAATGAACAATAAAAACATACACCCACATGAGACTGAAGCAAATCGTTAGGACTGGTAGGATTTCAGTGAATGGCAGGTTTATATACCTAAGCTGGGGCTCAATCAGCAAACACCTTTACGTAGACACTCTCCTGTACCAGCACAAATCTGCTAGTAACACTACAAAATGAGGAGGAATGTTCTTGGTATTGCAGCTGTATGCAGTTGGATTAAGTGTCTGCTTAAAAAGATCTTACACATCTCTGCAAGAATCTCTGTCTCTAGGAAATAAGTGATGAGCACTGAGCATTGCATTCCTTTGCTATCTCAGATTTCTCTTTCACTAGGCTATCCACAGTGAAACACTGGAGAATTATCAGTGTCCTGAGCAAAATAATATAAAGCTAAACAAAGGACCTCAGGGCAGACATCTGTTACATTCAAGCAGATACTGAAGTTGCTCTTTCCATAGATTAAATGCAAGAGAGCAAAACCTTTGCAAATTTTAGGTGACTATTGATTTATGTAAAAAGATATGACAGTGGGAGTATGCCCATGTATTCCCTTGCATTTAATTATATACTGAGAGTCTGCAATTTCACACTGAAAAAACATCTTGTTATCCAATGCACGTTATTGGGTAACGGCTTTTGCTGTTTTTCCATGTGACATGCAATGACAAAAATGGGTACAAAAAAGCTTTTAAAATCTTTTTTGTTTGTTTGTTGGTGGGACTTTTTTCTTTGATTGATTTGTTGGTTGTTTATTTATTTATTTATATATTTTATATATATATATCCTCAAAAATTGAGGAGATTTCTGGCTATCAAGGAAAAAAAAAAAAAAAAAAAGCTTTCTAAGAACATTTGTATGTGTTGAGAAATTTACCTTTTTTGTCTTTCTTTTCTTCTTCTTCTCCTCCAGCACCTAACAGAGTAAAGATGATGCCTGTCTGAGAATTCACACCCACAGCAGTTACAAGCATTCTTCCAGAGCCTTCCATGACGTGAGTACCTGAAAGTATGGAATATAAGCATTTTATATATATATACACACACATATTTAAATACACACATGCACAGGTGTATACATACAGTTATATGAAAATTATAAAGAACCATTAAATATGTTATGCATTCCTTTCAAGAGAAAATGCATATTTAATTGTACTGAAAGTGCTAATTTACAGCTGTTATTCAAGCAAATATTAGGAGCCTCTTAGAAAACTTCTGCTACGAGTTGTGGGGACATAAACTAAAACTTCCTAGAAGCAGTAATGAGTATTTTGACCTAACGACTTGGGAAAGAGTTACAACACTGGGTATTTAAAAAAAGAAGCTTGAAATTCAGAATGATGTACTACTTTGACATGAACTTAAAGCCAATTACTAAGAGGTGTTTGGTTTTTTTTTTTTAAAAAAAAAAAAGAGCCTGAAACCATAGTTATACAGAGAAGAATTCTCAAACAGGCTTATTTTAAACTACCACAGAACGGATTTTAACCAGCTGAGTGATGCATCTGCTGCACTGAGCAATTACAGAACGTTATTGATTTCTGATGGAGAATCTTATTGGTCATTCACATGTAATCAGACTAACTGGACATGGAAAGATTTGTTCTACATCCTTTTCTTAAAAAAGCATTTTATGGGATGGAGCCTCATCAACACAGCTTTCTTTCACTGAGCAATCTGCAAAGCTGAAAAAAGGAACATTTTTCATTAAATAGATAAATATTAATATATATTATCTCCTCATAACCTTTTCTTAAAATCCATTTTTTATTACTGTTCCTCCATTTGTTGTCCTCAACATATTAAATAATCCAACTATATATTTGTCATCAAAATCCCTTTTTCTAAATACTTAAGCGGAAACATGGAATAGAGAGCACACCTGTCCACATTAAGCCTATTTAAAGAGCATAAATATCACAACATTAAGAAAAATTCAGCAGAAGTAAGAAAAGCAGTAACAAAGCCATTACTGATCAGATCTAATTAAAAAATATATATATCTTAGTGTGTTGAAAAATGTTTCCATGGTTTTTCTGTACAGTAAGTCCCTTTCACAAAGCAGAGCAAAACCACACCCAGCCAAACAACCAAAATCAAGTCACATTTAAGTCAAAGGAATAGTAAACATCCTTCAGAGTTAGAATAGGCTTGGTTGTACAGGTTCAAGCAAGATAAAATTGCCTGAATGTTTATTTACTGCTTCAGAACCTCCTAGTAGCCCATCATTAAAAATATCTTTTAATTAATAACTTGCTTTTGTATATGTATGTTTTGAAGGAATCTTCTATACTGGATTACAAAGGTTTGCATGAATACAAAAAAAAAAAACAAACACACAGCTTGGGCATGAAAAACAGCTTCACTGAGAAAACAGGTAGCCACCACCAGTGTCCAAGCTTACACATGCACAGCTGGAAAAGTCTAAACATCTTAGTCTAAAATGGTTTGCTTAACCTTACAAACCTGTTCTTATTCTAGTAAACATGATTCAAAAAAGTCAAGGTACATAAAAAAGCATGTACTGAGTAGTAATTGATCAGAAGACTACAGTTTGTTGGTGTTGCTGCAGATTTATTTAGTACCCCAGCTAAATGGAAGAGCTGAATCTCCTTTCATCTAAGTCTGGCTACCTTGTCATTTAAGTGGTGCTATAATTCATTCACATTAGCTTGAATAGAGAAGCAGCCTCTATGAAACTGATCAGCTGCTGTAACATGAGCAGAATTCCACAATGAATGAATGTTTTTCACTTACTCAGTTCACTAAACATGTTTCAACTTCACGTGGAACAATTACACGGAATTCTTTCTTTAGGTTTTCAATATTAATAAAGTACATTTTAGTTGATAAACATTTGATATAGACAGAAGGAGAAAACTTCTATGAGAAAAGAGATAATTAGGTTACACAGGTAAGGAAGGTACATTGCAGCACGTACGTTTTCAGATAAAAATCACAGAATCACAGAATGGCCAGGGTTGGAAGGGACCTTCAAGGATCATGAATCTCCAACCCCCCTGCCACATGCAGGGCCACCAACCATCCCACCTAATGCTAGACCAGGCTGCCCAGAGCCCCATCCAATCTGGCCTTGAACACCTCCAGGGACGGGGCATCCACAACCTCCCTGGGCAGCTGTTCCAGCACCTCACGTAAAGAATTTCCCCCTGACGTCCAACCTAAATCTCCTTTCCCTCAACTTAAAACCATTTCCCCTTGTCCTGCTGTCACACCCTTTCAAAGAGTTGATTCCCCTCCTGTTTGTAGGCTCCCTTTAGGTACTGAAAGGCTGCAATGAGGTCACCCCGCAGCCTTCTTTTCTCCAGGCTGAACAAGCCCAGCTCCCTCAGCCTGTCCTCATAGGGGAGGTGCTCCAGTCCCCTGATCATCTTCATGGCCCTCCTCTGGACCCTCTCCAACAGCTCCCTGTCTTTCTTGCCTGGGGGTTCCACACTTGGACGCAGTGCTGCAGATGGGGCCTCACAAGAGCAGAGTAGAGGGGAACAATCACCTTCCTGTCCCTGCTGGCCACCCCTCTTTTGATGGAGCCCAGGATCCCATTTGCCTTCCGAGCCGCAAGGACACACTGCTGGCTCATGTTAAGGTTTTCATCTATCAAGACCCCCAGGTCCCTCTCCACAGGGCTGCTCTCAAGGACCGCTCCTTCCAGTCTGTAGGGATGCCTGGGATTCCTCCGGCCCAAGTGCAAAACTCTGCACTGTGCTGTGTTGAACCACATCAGGTTCATCCGGGCCCACCTTTCTAGAAACCCTCCAATCTAACAGTACTAATGACATAGGTTAGAAACTATGTTCAAAAATAAGAAAAGAAGAGCATGCCACTCCGGGGTGTTTATCCTGCTGCTTAGTTCCAGGAAGCTCATGATGACCCCAAATCCTCTATCTGCATGTCTAAACCACTAGTTGCTGAAATTATTAAGAGGTAACTGAAGTTTCACTAACAAAGTGAAACCACCACCACAGTATTCTCTACAGACAAAAAAAAGTTTTACTGCAAAAACTTATCTGCATGTAATCTCAGCATATCCAAATGATCCATTTCAAGTTAGATGCTCTGTTCTGAAAACTTCTGCTTCACAAAGCAGAAGCTTAGCTTTGAATATTTGCTGGCAAAGAATTAAGACAGAATCAGAACCATTTCTCTCCAGGCAATAGCTGTCCCGATTCCTTAATCAAGCTTCCTTTCTATTTCCATACCCTAACGAAGAACCGTGACAAAGAGATTTCTTTATTTATTTGTTCCTGAATAAGCTGACTTTGTTTCAAAGAAACAAGGAACTTTTAGATATAAGGATGCAGTGCTGAAACTTAGGATAACGTAAAGTTGTCAGTCTCATTTCAGTGAGAACTATGGCAGGTCAGCTCCTCCCTGTAACTCTTTCATACCTTAATCAAATTCATCTAAATAACTGCAATGGAGCTTTAAACAGTTGGCCTTAGAGTTTTTTGTAAGTTAACTATTCCCACGTCGTACTCTGAAATAATTCACTGCATGCAGTCCTGAGGCCAGACTCATATTAAGAACTTCTGCTGATAGGAACCATGGATGTGTCTGAATTTCAGACTGTACAGAACTCGAAGGGTGAACCAATTTGAATCAAAGCAGCTGAGCATCAGACAGCGTTCGTCTTTTGGTTGATATACAGCCATGCTCACTGTGAAGAAACTTAACGTTGTCACAGCCTTAATGCTGATGACTGTTGATACAGTTACTTAGGCTACACTACGCGTGCAGATCTCCATTAGAGACCTAAAAGGAGGAAAATGTTTTAGACGTAAGTACGGTGGATTGCTTTCAGGTATGTTAGTCTTTATAATGCTATTTCTGTCTTACCAGGTGGTACCAAATGTAGCTGTATGCAGATGGAAATGAACCATCTGGTTTAGTCAGCACTTGTACTTTTAGAATTGTTTCCCAAGTATAGTAAATGACTATCTGGATGATTAAACAGGACATTAAGCACAGAAACTCATTTAGTTTAATTATGACATTGAAACCAGTAGAATATTAAAAATCTTGTTTTTTCAGGTGCCAGCAGTGAAAATAATGCTTCCTGATACAGAGTGTTGATCCGTCACCAAATTTAGACTCACAGAAACAAACTATGGCTGCCACTCGAATGGTACCTTCCTTCAGCTGTTCTCATGTCAAACCTGAACTGTTTTCATTTCCAACAGATGACTGACAGACAACAGTGGAAAGCATCACCCCAATCATCTTTTTCTAAATTAAAAAGTCTAGCTGGAGTGAGCTCACTGATGCCCTCAAGAGCAAAGAAAAGAGGAAAAACTGACATCTTCTTCCAGAAGTTTTTGTCTCTTTGTTTATTTTTCTCTTTTATTAAAATATGGGACTATGCTAATATCCAGCAGGAATTCAGTTTTTAAACTCATTGTGAAATAGTTGTGACACGATGGCCTTCCACTTTTTTGATTTCTTAGCTATTTCCAGACAGTATATCATGCCCAATACCACTGATATTAAAACTTGAATTACATCTCAGAAGAAGGTGGTATTTTGCATGCCAGAATCTCAAGTAATCAAATCTACTCATAGGCAAATAGAGTTCAAGGATTTTCTAACAAAGCATGAGTATAATTTCATTAGTAGAAGCATGGAACAAAAGCTTTTGTAGCTCTTGTTAAAATATCACATTAATTCTTCAGCATTTTTGTAATTACAGTAGAGAAGGAAATTTTATATGAAGAGTACACATTTTAACATTGCCATAAAACCACAAAAACAAACTTCTGTCTTCCTAGCTAGAGCTTTTGGAAACAGGAAAAAAATATTTTCTCAACTACTCAACTACTTTCCCTTTCTCTCCTTCCCTTCATTCTTCTCAGAGCAATGCAATTATGTTTTTTCTGAACTCTATGGGTATCCAAAAAGATATCACTCCATTCAGGAATTTGTGAGAGTACATTAACCAGATGGGAAAGAGAAGTCTGCTCATGAATAATGACTTCAGATGTACTTGAAAATATTATTTCAGATTCTAATATATTATCATGAAACCAGCAGACAGTTATTTTGTAATCACATTCCAGCTGAAATCTATATAATCTAACTGATCCATTTAGAATTAAAAAACAAAACCAAAACTATTTCATTTAACTGATTAATTTGTATTACAGTATGCAAAAATTATGAATAATTTGAACAAACCTCAACTGTCATGGACCATAAATGTCAAGATTATAGTGTATTCATTTTTTTTTCTAAGCACAATTATGTTTTTTTTCCCTATTATTTCTAACATAAATATAAAAAAAAAAAAAGCAATTCAAGAGGCTTTAAAACATAATGGTTAAATTGAAGCTGATATACAATGAATTGAAACAATTTTTACTTCCTTTCTTTATTTTTCATCTAAAAATTTTCATTATTTTCTCAATTCATAAAATAAATGCCACAATCAGAAATAATTGCATGCAATCAAAAAGCAGTAGAATGTCTCTCATCGAAAACAGGCAGGGTCAGTGTCTGTGTTCAAAAGATCAGCTGTATCTAGGTTACCAAACCTTGATGGTGTGGAAAAGCAAATCAAAACCAAACACGAACAAAGCAGTTCATAAAAGATAAACTCAGCACGAATTGAAGAAAATTTACCTGACAGTAGCATTGGATCTTTGTCAACAGATTTGCGGACCTGGTCTGACTCTCCAGTCAAAGAACTCTCATCAATTTTAAGATCATTTCCTTGAATAAATATCCCGTCGGCAGGTAGGAGATCACCTTTCAGTAAGAACATGGTAATGGAAAACCACAGGTTTTTTAGTAAGTGTTTTTATAATTACATATTTTTTTCTATACAATTACAAAAAACCATAATTTTATTAAATTGTAAAATGAAAGCAAAGGCGAAAGAAGTAAAACCATAATGGTCCATGTTAGCCATGGTAGCAATGCCATAGGGAAAGGCCCTTATTTGGCAAATACTTCTAGCTTAACTCTATTCCCAGACTAAGAATGCATCACACTCCACATCTGATGAGCATAACAATCAGAGTGAGGGGAACAATCTTTTTGACATGACAGTAGGGTTTCTCTGCCAGACTTCATAAGAACAAACAGTGGCTAATAGACAGTCAAGAAGTCCCACACCTTTCCTCGCCCAGGAAGCCTGCAGCTAAACCCAGGAGAGAGCTGATGGCAGGAGGGGAGGTCCATCCAGTATATAATTGTAAGGCATCTGCCCACTAGCAACACTCAGTCTGGGAAAAATTAAAGGATGCATAGTTTTAGAGTGGCCTACCAAGTGTGCACACGGGCACAATTCCTTAACAGAGTGTTTAAAAATACTTTCTCATATTCATAATTAGACGTAATAAAAAAAAAAATATCAAAATAATCCTCCATGACAGAAAATTACCACTGCATTAACAGTTTTTGGCCTTGTCAGGGAAAGAAAGTGAAGATTACAAAAATAAAATTTATTACCAAGTGCAGATTTATTGTAAGTTTCTTGGGCTGAGTTATTCTTTTGCCCCAGCAGTGTAATTACTGTCATGCTACGGAAAGATGGTTCTATCTTTTCAATTAGTTCCGGTGAATGAGTCCCAAATATGCTTTATTCTGCTAGGAAGAGGGAAGAGGAATATATAAACTTGAAAAGAAGTAGTCCTGTAGTTGAGAAAACTTACCATATTTCACCTGTGCAATGTCACCAACTACTATCTCTGCCACTGGGATTTGGATGACCTGCCCACCTCGGACAACAGTAAATTTCTGTTCCTGCTCAATGCGACTTTGAAGCCCACGAAACTGCTTCTCCTTGCTCCAGTCATTAAAGGCAGTGACAAGTACAACACAGATAACAGACAGCAGGATGGCAGCACCTTCAATCCAGCCAGCTTCAGCCTCACCTTCATCTTCAGCTCCTCCTGTTGCAGTGCCACACCCTGCAAAAACAAGTTCAAGAATCGTTCAGTCAAGCAAAGATAAGATTTATCACATCTGTCACAAGGAAATCTTGCTGTGAAATGGCAACAAATTTAAGGAATAGAAGTACTATCTGCTAAATAATGAATGCAGAATAAGAGAACAAGAAAAACAGAATGGAGAATAAGTAGAAATAAAGTTGGCTGAGGAAAGGAATAAGAAAAAAAAAAGCACAAAAAATGTTAGCTCTTTTAATTTCTCAACTAAGCAAGTAGTTATCCTTGGTAAATGCAGACTAAACCAATGGAGAAAGAAGGCATTGATTCTGTTATCTACGAGGTTTGACAATTTCAAGTGAGCCATCAAGCACTTAAAAACTAAAGCAATGAGTAACATAAAACAGTTGAAAGCCATAGGATTAAATGAAGATTATTATTCTTTAAATTGAAGATGGGGAACACAACAAAGTAGATCAGATGCATAACTACTCAAACATTTTGTATTCATGTTTCCATTTTGGAAATAGGAGAAACACGAACATACATTGAAGTACTCACATTTCTGAAGAGTGCTGACAATTTATTAAAGATAAACATGATAGAGATACAGTTGTATTTAACCTACCATTTAATATTTACAGATAAGACTGTCTTAGTTTTATCTAAGCTAAAGATTGCGTGCCTTCCTAAAAGGTCAATGAAGCAACTTTCAGTACCATTTCTAAGAGTTCACAACCAAATGCACTCACAAGGAACACTTGATAAAAAACAACTCAGATCAACAAGCATATGAGTATTTAAATGTGATAATGAGGGCTAGTAGGGAATATTGAGTAATGTTCCCTAGTAAAAAACACCTAGTGTAAATTCATCATCAATCCAGTTAATAACTAATAATCAATATAATCCACATCTTTCTTTCAGAGAAATACATGGGCACATTGTAGAGCAGTAAGTAGATTTATTTATGTCACAGATACAACAGTATTAGAAAGTACATCCTAAAAAACTGAACTATTTGGGCTGCTCTGAAAGTAATGCCTCCTATCTTATCATGTTGGTCCACGACTTCAAAGGCGGATGTCGGTGCTACGGCAGTAGATGTTGAATCTTCCCACCAAAATTCCATGGCATTCTGTTGCTGTGCAACTGATGACAGCAGTCTGACAAAATGACATCTGACATGGAAGTACTTACGAAGCAAAGGGATGGAATGTAATTCCTCCATGAGGAGAAAATGGCACCTACATTGACATTTGTAGTAGATTGATGGCGACCAAACAGCAGATGTGAGCACAGTGAGGAGGTCGTGGTGAGTTTCAGCAGTGGCATTAATAGGTCACCTCTGCTGCTGCAGATTTTGACAAGCACGCCATGCATGCTCTTCTTCATCACTGACGAAAATGCAGAGCTAATGGTGGTCACCATGTTGAAAAACAGCATTCTGCAGCTGAGAATTTGCTCCATCATACAGCATCACTGTGTTCTTCTTATCTGTTGTAGTTTCCACAGAAATAAGTAGGAGGTTTTACTTTTGGAGCAACCTATGTATCTGAAGTATTTTCTAGACAGTTGCTAATTATTTATTTCCAAGCAATATACAATTAAAATTTGAATAGGCTTCCTAGATAGCATCCATGGAACAGATCCAAAACTATGTCTTTTTTTTTTTTTTTTTTTATGGAATTAATCATAAAAAATGAAGTTTCTGATAGCAAACAGGTAAGTACTCATATTAGCATCACAAAATTCAAATATTTCCCAGTCCAAAGGGGACCAAAAAAAGAACCCAATCTAAGCATAAGGGCCTTTCATCCTCCCCAGAATGAAAGAGAAAGAAAGTAAGTCTTTTGCTTCTAATAGAAACCCGAAGTACAGGGACCTCAGCAACACAGCAACTGTGTTGATTCCATCTAAGACTAAAGTTTAATTCTGGAATATTCATCACGTGCCACTAGATGAAATTAACAAGTAATTTTATTTCTATTTTTAATCTAGAAAGATTTTACCATAACATAAGCATCGTAACTGAATAATTACCATGTGTGAACAGCAAAGAAATTACCAAAAAAGTCAAAAGAAGGTATTATCAAAGACTGAACATCTACTAAATGATCAGCAGAAAATTAAAATAAACTTTCTTTACCGTGGTTGCTGCAATTTAAACTCAAACTCTAACTGTAAAGCAAAACAAACCCCAAAAGAAAGGGCTTCCTTTGAAGGGCTGCCCTTAGACTGATGGACCACATCTCTACATGCAGTACAAGAACATTGCTGATGATATAATTTTTATAGCATCCAAAAAATGAAGTAATCTCTGTTTCAGTACCTTAAGTTGCTTAAAGTCAGTCACAGCTGCAACTTACAAACTCCCAGGTGCAATTTCTTCATTTAGCAGATACTACTCGTGGGAAGGACAAACAAAATTTGTTCTTTAACCTTTAAATCATCTTAATTGGACCGTGTTAGATTTTAGATTTCTTTTCCAAACCAGTAAATTCACTTTTGCCTCGAGTAGATTAAACTGTTTCCCAGCACGTATAATTCTATTTTAGCAAATACAAGACAAAAAATTCACCACTCATTTTTCATTAAATAAGATTCAGAAGTAATTATCAAGAAAATCCTGTTCTTTTTAACAGGATGCTTCCTCCCCAATTTCTCACAAAAAGAACCCTGCCCGATCAGGCCACAAAGACTGATTTTACTTCTTTGTGGATTTTAAAATCCTCACTGGTTGAAATTTAATCTAGCTTGTCTAAAAGCAAACATAAGCATTATTTCTTACAGTGATCCCTTAGTCCAGGCTAGCTAATGATGATCATCTCTCAGAAGTGACAAGGAGCATCACATGGGCAGATCTGCTTAAGGGCAATTCAATGGGTCTGAACTTATTTACCTCATTCTAAATCATACCCTACTATGCTTTCACTGAAAATTTATTTCACTTCTCCATAAAGATTACTGATAACTTATACCATGCTCTTTTCTACTAGAAAAAGAATGAGCCATTATATAACATTTAGGATTTAAAAACCAGCCATCTGAAAGACAAAAAGTGTGCTTTCGTTCATTATAAGGAATCCACTACGTCTCTGGACACATGAAACAGCTTCATAGAGGAGCAGAGCATCTCCTCACTAGAAAGCTGCTAGTTTTGAAAAAGTCATTGTTATTATTACAAAGAACCCGTAATTCTTGTCACTGCCTTTGAAATCTCAGAGAAGCAAGATGACAGGGCACCCAAACACAATATTAACACACTGTATCTTGAATAGCTTAGAGAATAGTATTTGCTTAAAAAAAAAAAAAAAAAAAAGCATAAAATAAAAACATACATTGACTTTAGTAAAGGAATTAATTCTTCATTATCAGAACTAGTTTCTACGCCCAGAGAATGATGATAAATGGAGTTAAATCCTGAGTGGTGCTCCTCAGGGATCAGTACTGGGGCCTGCCCTGTTTATTATCTTTATTGATGATTTGGATGAGGGGATTGAATACACCCTCAGCAAGTTTGCAGATGACACCAAGTTGGGCTGAAATGCTGACATGCCTGGGGATAGAAAGGCCCTACAGAGGAATTTGGACAGGCAGGATATCTGGGCTGAGGCCAATGGGATGAAGTTCAATAAGACCAGGTACAGGGTTCTTCACCTTGGCCAAGACTCTGTAAGAGTAATCAGGTGCTGGAATGAGCTGCCCAGGGAGATGGTTGCATCCCTGGAGGTGTTCAAGAATTGTTTAAAGGTAGCAAGGGACATGTTTAGTGGGAAAAAATTGGTGGTAGGAGGATAGTTGGACTGGATGACCTTGAAGGTCTTTTCCAACCTTGGTGATTC